GCTAACGCCTCCACGCCCTCAGGAAAACTTCAAAGCATTGCCGATATATCTTAAAAATTCATGACTCATGACTTGATTTCTACCCGGTAGAAATGGTGAAAAAATAGGTGCACGATTCCCGTCGGATCCCAGCTCCCAAACTTGACTCAATTATGCGCCCGAAAAATTGGTTTTTTTTCTTCTAGCCTTATCTACCATTTAGTCTGCTCTGTCCTTTAAGGTATCTTGTCCTACAAAAAATACCTATGGATAAATAATGGCCCCCTGAAGTAACTATTTTCGACGGCCAATGAAGAAGCACGAAAGAAATAGTATGAAAGACGATAAAAAATAGATACTGGGAATTAACGAACAGAGGCAAGTGCAACTCCTGTAAGGAAGAGTTTACAATCAAAATAATGCGTACAAGAGTAACACTTACCATGAGCAGCTGGAAACTGCGAGGAGATAATACCATGACCATGGAATGCGGGAGAATTGTTTGATAGTTGGAACAGTGGCACTTGTGTCTGGCTTAAAGGCCGAGATGTTGCAGAGCTACCATACATGAAGTTGTTCATAGTGGGAACCTTGGAAAAAATTAACAGTACAAGGCACAAAATCAATAATTTTTAGGCAAAAGGATTTATCCGTATAAACCAACGGATCATGAGAGCGCTTCTGACTAAGAGGTCAGTTGCGCGGATAATGGTGGGGAATAAACAGCTGCTTGTACATCTCGCGAAGCTTCGCGTCAGATATGAGAAAACTCCAAGACAACGGTAAATATACTGTTGTTGACCTATGATACCCAAATAGATTACGAGAGAACTACTATATATGGACATAAGATAAAGGAAGGATTAATGTGTCTCAGCTGTAGTCAAGTAGGAGCCAAGATGGCCTTAACTTCGTCGCTTCATCGCGTATCACCATCCAAAAAAAGTCATTTTGAACGCCACCCAAGAAGTTTTTCACATCAAAATGTTGGGCAAAAGGATTGATCACCACAGATCAGAGAAGCTCGCCCGCCTCTATAGAGACAAGTACTTGAAGGGGGAACGAACGGGAAAATTTGGTTACTTAAGGCCCAAGTAAACAGAAATGGTAGGTTGGAAACACCTCATGTTTAAATCGTAAGAATGAATTTTGCTTAGACTATGGGTGAATTGATTCTGCACCTCATCAAGTTTCTTTTATTTCTAGGAGTGTGGTATGCAGGGTCTCTCGTGTTCTTTTCCAAGCACCGTCTCCACGGGGTTCTTTCTTCTGCAAATTAATGTCTTGTTTTCCGGTCCATTTGTTAAGAAATAATTCGTGTACGCATGTTATTCTATTCCGCAGCTTATCCGGTCATACTAAAGTGAGTCAAAATGCTTACATTTTACAGATGTTTTTT